AGTTAATTAACATGCCCAAGAATACATTCAGTAAGTGACATACCCGAGATTAAACCCCAAGTCTCTTTGGCTTTAAATGTGTGCTTTTCATAATTATATTACTTCTGATTCAACAGGTGCGTTCCAAAGTTGAGGAACCCATGTTGGTTTTTTGCTTTTAGTTTTTATAAAGTTTCAGATTTTGCCCACCAGAATGTACATTTTTCGTTTGAAACAATGAGAGAAGTTCCTTCAGACAGAAATAAAGTTTTGACTCAACAACAGTTAATCGGCACACATCTTGATTTAATATTGATCCACGCCTGGCGCATATACTTTCTTTTCTGTGTATTTGTATGACATTTTAAAAGGTAAGTGGCAGTTTTTCATGTACTTCCAAGCTACTTCCATCAAGTAATGAAATACTTGGCTTGGGCGGTCTCTGGAGTCCCAGAATTTCAGCTTAAACTTTCCATTCGTCCCTGCCAGGCACTGACTCTGAAATATCTTTTTTTATGGAGACCGCCTCCAAAAGGTGCAGCTGTGTGCTGGTTTCATCTTGCACTTTGTAGCTGTGTTGGCACCATTTAATGTGAGGAATGCCACTGTCTCCCACACACCACTGGTGCCCAAGGACTGTTCAGGCCTGTCCGGGTTAGTGGTTTGGGAAGGGTCTGAGTTTGGAAAGAAGGCTCCCTTCTGTTCCATGTGATTGGCTGTCAGCAGGGTTAAGGTAGAAAAATAGAACTAATGGAAAATGCAGCATCTGAGGTGTCATCAAAAAATTCTTTCTACAACCGGGGACACCTAATTCATTGGTATTTGTATCGGTGTTGAAGACTTGATTCCTCTTCTGAAACAATATATGTCTTGCTTCACCACTTCTGGACCCTTCTACTGTTCTTTCTTGTCTCCTTTCTCCTTAAGTAATACTGATTTCTTTTGATGGAAAATGATTCCACTTAGTCAAAAACTGGTGTTGGACTATCGCAGGGGAATCTGTGAATTCACCCAGATTCTTAAGAGTGGGCTTGGCTCAGACTTAACACACTGGCTACAGCAGGCTTCAGAGCCAAAAAGCATTCCTAATTCAGTTAAAAAAAATTTGTCTGAATGATAAAACCTAATAAAAATGTATATATCACCTTCATGAGGATCATGCTGTGTGATTTTGTGTTTTGTAGATGATCTGTATATTCTGTATTTTTTCTTTTTTAGTCCCACTATGTTTTAGTCTGTTGTTGTATATAACGTGGTGCTTTATCATGCACCTTTCAGAAAACAACTTGCCAAATTTGGCAATGCCTCGCAATTATAATTTCCTGTTAGAATTTCTTAAAATGGAATGTAATGGAAAAGGAAATACCGACCTTGTGTACTTAATAAAATTAGAGGAATCATTGATTTTAGGATTGTTGAAATAATTAATAGTTTGCTTTAGAATACTCTTTTAGATTTTTGATGTTGATTGATCCTCTTACCCGTAGGAGAAAACGTGAACTTGAAAAGCTTCTTGGGTAGGACTCCACATCCCCTATGTTTAAATATTTTTAAGGGGAAACGGATTGAATCACAGATATTGTACTAGAGAATAGGAAATCCTTGAATTGTTATTTAAAAAATAGGGTCTCTCCATATAAAATTTATCTTTTAAAACTCCCATTGCAAAGGCTTAATCAGCAATGGATCAGTGACTCAGACATTTGAGTAATACAGCTTTTAGCAATATTAACAACCCAGTGGGAAATTCACTAGCTCTCTTATAAGAAGACTGCCCATACTCCTTATATATGCATCTAGTTTTGTTCTTCATATTGTGGTGCGCTCCTTGAGAAAAGTTCCAGAATTGTTATAGGTACCCAATGGCTATCACGGTGCTTTTCAAAACCTTGAAGTAATAGTTTATGAGGGAAACACATGATATTTTGTAGTTCGGGATACGGATGGCAAACTACCATTTTTTTTTTTTTTTTTTTTTTTTTTTTTTTTTTTTTTTTTTTTTTTTTTGCCAAAGAAACCTTGAAAGGACTAAAGAAAGAAGGTTTTTCCTTTTTTTCCTTTTTTTCTTCTTCAAGCCAAAGTGAACAAATAGATGGAAGCCCTTTTATATGTCGTATTTGCCAACCCAGGAATCTAACAACTGCTGGGTGCATATTTGAATCGCAATTAGGTGAAATCTTTAATTATCAGTTAATTTAACTTTCAAATTTGCCTGCAGAAATGATTGTGTTGATAAGATTCTGGAAGGAGATAAACCTTTATTAAGTAATTCCATTTTCAGGTGCCAACTTTAAAGATTTTTTTTTAATTAAAAAAAAAAAGGGCCTAAGTAACTTAAGAGGGCGGGGACAGAGCCAGGCGAGTGTTGCATGGCTATGTGGGATTGTGTATTTACTAGTTAATCTTTAGCTTCTTACATCTTGGCGTGTGCTAATAAGTGAGAACTAGAAGTTTGAGAAGGCCAAGGAGAAACACTACAGTGAATTCTTACTGATATTTCTCTACATCATTTCTACCTTTAGGTTTGCCTCTGTTACATGTGCTGTTGGGATGATACATATCACTTGGTTCAGCATAGAAGGCATTTATGGGGGAGGACATTTTTGTGAGTTGATAATTTTCTGAGGCAAAAGGAAGTAGTTTATAGTTCATCAGAGAGAATGAAATGGTATGCTCTTTTATTTGATAGTGTGTCGTTTTTTATTTTACAATACTTTTGATGAAAAAGACCACATGAAACTTGCAAGACATTTGTATTCTCGGTGCTTCTCAAATATACTGACATTTTAACATTTAGAGATTTGGGGGGTGTCACTGATGGGTTTTTTTCAGGGGGTTACCCACATGAATTTGCTTATCATAATAGCATGTCCTAAAACTTAGCACTACTCCAAACTAGATTAGTAGCTCCATTCCTGGATTGTCTGATTCTGGGGGTTTATGGTCATACCTGGGAATCTTTCTTCTTAGCAGGTTCTCCACGTGATGTATAGGCTCCGGTAGGTACAGGGAACACAGGAGAGATGAAGTTCCCACTCAGCCCTGTGCCTAGTAATGGTCTAGAAGGTCAGTGGCCTGCCTGTCCTGCCTTTATGAAGTCCATAACATGTTTAAGTGATGTTGCAGTAGGACGGAGTCACCTGGGAAGCTGTGACAGACTTTTCGTGCTCTGAGTACAGATGTCGCTTAGCCCTATGCCCAGATGTTCTGTCCCCAGGCATGGCTTTATGGTGGGGTCTTAGTTGCACAAAGCCAACTCAGGAATCTTTCATTTGCTCTTGACAAATATGTCCGTGCTCAGGACATACAGGACCCTGCTCTCTAATATGGTGGCCGCTAGCACATAGAGCTTTTTCAGTGTAAATCAGTTTTTAAAAATTCATTTATTCAGCTGCAGTGGCTACATCTCAAGTGCTCACTAGCCACATGTGGCTAGTTGGCTGGTCTCTGCTTTTTCGGATAGCACAACTAATAGAACATTTCCATCATTCCCAGAAAGTTTGACTGGACAGGGCTGCTGTGGGATTTTATTCCAAAATTTAGCTCTTATCCTTTTATCCCGAGTACTTAAATGGCCAGTAGAGGTTAGTGGCAAGACCACATGTGTCTGACCCAGGGCATATTGGAGTCTAACAGGCTCTTACACTGCAGGGTTTAGGGTTTGTAAAACGACATAAATCATACGTCCCCCTCTGAGGGCAGCATCGAAAATAATTTTACTTGATTTATGTGTTGTGAGTTTCTTGTTCTGTGATGATTCTTGGTATTAGAAAGATGGGCTTCATTAGAAATTTGCTTAGCATCGTAAACGCCGTATAATAATCATGCCACTAAAATCTCCCTGAAACAAAATTATAAATATTTAATCTTTCTTAAGTTATATAAACGATTTATTCCTAGAAAAGAGGGTGCAGTGATGAACCTTAAGTGTCTAAAAAGTTACATGTTGGAGGCTAATAAAAAGGTTGCACCTGTAGGTATTTTTATATCGACTGTCATTTGCGTGTATTTTGCAGTTTGAGAAAAATAAGGTGAATATATTTAGCTCCCTCTTCTGGTATATTATGAGATGAATATTTTTACTTAAAATGGTTTCGTGTATTTTTGGAGTGAGAATACAGTTATTAATGTAATGTTCAAGGCCATTATTGGTGTGTTATCCAGTTAGTTTCTTCTTGAATCACCAGGAATGGTAAAATATATAAATAAAGCATGGAAAAACAGTTTGTGAAAACATCACATTTCTGAAGATACTAACCAACCAAAATATATGTGAGCAAACTAAGGCTTCGGTAGCAAGTGCACAGGGGCTTAATTTGGAATTAATGTCATGTGGCCAGTGATCATTTGCAAATGCCCTGTGTCTGAATATTTTAAAGTTCTAAGTCATGTTAATGAACAGTTGAGTAAAAGCTGGTCCATCCTCCTACCTGGACATTATGAAGTTGTTGCTTCATAATGGCCAGGCGGCCAGTTCTCGGGTTTCAGTTCTGCCACGGAGTGTGGTGATCTGGGGAGAGCTGACCACTCACCCAACCTAGTCTTGCCCTGCACTGCGGGGGCTCTGGCACATCCACATTCCATCCTACCCTGAGTCCTGCCCACCCAGCCCCCAGCCCCCAGCCCCCAACCCAACTGCCTCAGGCCCAGGGGCACACCCCAGCAGGGAGATCTGCCCCAGGGAGGATGGACCTGGGGAAGAGGCCTTGAGAAGCTAATTGGGCAGGGAATTCCCTGATTCTAGCTAAGTATTCTGAGTGTGTCCCAGGAGAGAAGTAGGCCTTACCCTTGGGCCCCCAAAACTCCTTAAACTGCAGGAAGAGGCACGGCTGGAAGAGGCCCAGAGAGGAGCCCTCTGAAGTGCAGGGCCCAGCACAGGGCGCCATCTTGCTCAGGCCTGAGTTTGCCGGTGTCAGGTAGAACTAACCTGTTCTGTATTTCGGTTTTCTTCGTTGTTGTCTAATGCATTTGCTTGCCCCCACCTAAACATAATCTAATTGTAGGATTCTGTTCATTCGCAGCTTTGGCTCTGCCAGATCTTGCTGAGCAGTTTGCCCCTCCTGACATCGCTCCGCCTCTTCTTGTGAAGCTAGTGGAAGCCATTGAAAAGAAAGGTAATCGGCTGATAGAGGGAATCAGTTAATTTGTTATGTCCTTATTTCATGGGTATTACAATTTATACTTGTCTGTTGGGCATTCGTTAAATAAGCTCTCGCCAACTTGTGCTAGACACATAAGCTCTTTGTTGCTGTGTCCTGGGGAAACAGCCTTGGTCTGATTCCTGACTCCATATTAACATGTAGTTACTGTATGGAAACTATTAAATTCTCCACAATTTAATAAATATAATTAACTTGCTCCTTCGTGGCCAGACGACTTCACCAAAAGTATTGACATGCCAGCTACGATTAATAGCAGGAGTTAACTTCCAAGAATATTTGGTACACGCATCTAGAATAGATAGGAGCTGGAAACTGGAATGTCGTTCTGGCAGCCGGCCCACAGGTTCTCCAGAGAGCTGTGTTTTGCATGCTCAGTCTGTTTTGTGTCTTAGGTCTGGAATGTTCAACTTTATACAGAACACAGAGCTCCAGCAACCCAGCAGAATTACGACAGCTTCTTGATTGTGGTGAGTGTCATGGAGCTAGAAAGACAAATGGGAGACACGGTTCTTACCTTTCTGTTTCAGGTAAAGCACACAAAAACACTTGAACTCGATCATGCAGCGTTCTGAGTTTGAAGGAAGCTCAGAAATCACACACGGTTCCCTCTGCCCTATTATGGTAACAGCCCAAACCAGTGCTGACCTTTGATGTTTGTCTCCTGAGTTGGGGTGTGTGTGCGCCTGCCTGCAGGCATATTGGCTGTCATCGCAGCTAAGAGCCTCTGGGCCCTGCAGGAATTGCAGAGGAGAGAAACACCCTCTTGGGATTTCTCTGGCTCTGCGTATCCACCATCTTTTCTCTGACCATGCATTTGGCTACATCTGATTCATCTGGATCAGCTTAAAAAATATTTATAAGCCTGTGTCATTTAACAAATGTCTCTTCTGATCTTTTCCATTTTCCTCCCCCCCCCTTTTTTTTTCTTTTTGGCCTTCCTTCCTTCTTTCCTTCCAAATGCTTATTCGCTTTTTCATACCATGTTTATATTAAGTAACATCATGATACTGTTATATTCAATGGTGTGCTGGTAAACCCCTCTCAGGGAGGTGGGGGAACCCTGGTTTGTACTAGTTGCCCACTTCCGTGGTGTAAATATGCCCGCCGCGGTCGGTTTCAGGCTGCCAACATGTTATCACTAAACTCCCAACTTGGAAAGAATTGAGCGTAGTTGGCGATGAGCAGGCCAGCGCCTGCACACCACTGGTTAAAGGACATCAATTAATTCAACCAATGGTGGCGTTACTCTTTGTTCCCTCTCTCCTTTGCCAAACCGAATAAAACTATAAATGTGAATAAATTCACTGGCCATCATTCTGGCAAATCATCTTCTGCATCAACTTGTAGAATCCCTCCGATCCTTCATTCCCTCTCAGAATTTTTTTTTAGAAAAATAATTTTCTGCCTCACATCATTTCACCGAATTTGGATTTAGGAACCCGAAAGAATGAAACCCTGTTGGGGAGGAAGGCCTTTGAGACCATACACTTGTGCAGAGCATGTAGTAAATGAAAAACTCTGAAGTTGAGCAGCTTTCAAATGAGGCAGCTCATGAAAGTTTCTAGAAAAGATGTTTCTGGGAAAAACGAAGATTCTATCTCTGTCAGTAAATAGTTTCATTTGAAATGCACCACCCAGATGTTTGAAGTTTGAAAATAATTTTTTCAAACTTTCATTTTTATTTTGTGCATGGAAACCAGAGTCACACACATGCAGGGCATGTCCCCTGACAGCTGCAAATCCTGCCTCACCCCCAGACTGGGTCAGTACAAGCTGACTGGCAGAAAGCTGTAGGTGAAAGACGTACCTTTATTTCTTACAGCCTGACCAGAGTGGGAAAGAAACAGTGAATTTTGTCCTTAGCCGGTTGGAGTTGAGATACATGTTTTGGTCAGAAAATTGGTCAAACTGAACAACAGTCACAGGAAATGTTTAGACATCAGAGACCGATGAAATGAGAGTTATTTGAGAAATAGTGGTTAAGCTTTTCAGTGTGACTGAATACAGATGATGCAGGCTAGGCTAAGAAAAAAACCTTCACCTCACCTCTGAGATGGAATACCTAACCAAAATTACGTCAACAGTATGTTTTGACAGGCAGCTTTTCTGCCCCACTTGAGAGCAAATCACACAGGTAGAACACTGGTTTCCTTTGGATTCTGTGTGATAAAAGTGAATTTGTGAGAAGAGAAGGCATAAACATTATCTAAATTTAGGAGTAGATCCTCGGACTTTTTATAGCTTGAGGATTTTTCAGTCCATAAAAATATTGTAATACCTTGGAGGAAGCTCAGGGTAATCACTTACACTAAAAAGAGAGAGAGAGAGAGAAAACATGGCTTTTTTTTTTTAATGTTTATTTTATTTTTGACAGAGAGAGAAGCAGAGCATGAGTGGGGGAGGGCCAGAGAGAGAGGGAGACCTAGAATCTGAAACAGGCTCCAGGCTCCAAGCTGTCAGCACAGAGCCGGACGTGGGGCTTGAACTCATGAACTGTAAGATCATGACCTGAGCCAAAGTCGGACGCTCAACCCACTGAGCCAGCCAGGCGCCCCTGGAATTCATGGCTTTTAACCAAACTTGTGAATTACCAGTGTCTGAAAAGGATAGATGTGAAGGACAACATCCCACTTTTATTAGTACTTACTAAGTTATTTTATTTCATCTACATATTACCCTTGTGATATTAGTTATTGCTGATGGCAGAACTCTGGCTTACACCCAAATTGTTCCAACTCAAAGATCTCTACTCTTTTTTTTTCTCACTGTATTGACCCACAGTGAATTGTTTCTTTGTTGTTCTCATTTGAATTTTCTCCTGATTGTTTTGGTTTCTCTTAACCTGAAGCAGGTCTTTTCTTTTTAAAAAATTTTTTTATTAGTTTTCTTTATTTTTGAGAGGCAGAGAGAGAGACAGCGCGAGTGGAGGAGGGGCAGAGAGAGAGAGGGAGACACAGAATCCGAAGCAGGCTCCAGGCTCTGAGCTGTCACCACAGAGCCCGATGCGGGGCCCGAACTCATGGACCATGAGATCATGACCTGAGCTGAAGTCGGATGCTCAACTGACTGTGCCACCCAGGCGCCCCTCTTTTCTTTTCTTTTTTTAAATGTTTTTATTTGTTTTTGAGAGAGAGAGCGTGCCTTCAAGCTGGGGATGGGGAGAGGCGAGAGAGGGAGACACAGGATCTAAAGCGGGCTCTGTGCTGATAGCAGAATGCCTGATGTGGGGCTGGAACTCAGGAACTAGAAGATCATGACCTGAGCTAAAAGTCAGATGCTGAACTGACTGAACCACCTCGGCAGGTGCCTCATCCTGAAGCACACCTTTTCTTTAAAACTTCTCCTAACAGGGACGCCTGGGTGGCTCATTCCGTTAAGCATCCGACTTTGGCTCATGGGTTCAAGCCCCACATTGGGCTCTGTGCTGCCACCTCAGAGCCTGGAGCCCGCTTTGGAGTTTGTGTCTCCCTCTCTCTCTGCCCCTCCCCTACTCACACTCTTTCTCTCTCTCTTCCTCAAAAATAAACACTAAAAAAATTTCTTTTAAATAATAAAAGTTCTCATGAAAAACCCTGTAACTATGGTGATGGATGTTAATTAGACTTCCTGTGAATGATCATTTTGTAACATAAACAAATATCAAATCATTATGTTGTTGTTAATAACAACATATATAAGGTTATATGTTAATTATACCGCATTTAAAAAAAAAATCAGGCTTTTTTAGCCCCAGCGCACCTGTCCACTACTCACTAGATGCCAGTAGCGTTGTCCCCAAGTTGTAACAATCAAAAATGTCTCCAGATATGGCCAGATATCTCTTGGGAATTCAGGTGGGGCAACAATTCAAAACCCCAACTGAGAACTACTAAGTTAAGGGAGAGATGAGCTGGGAAGGGGACTCCATTCCATTGGGAGGAAGGCTGAAATGCTAGAGAGCTTACTAGTTACCTGTCCTGAGCAGACTCAGTGAAAAGGGAGGTTGCAGAGGGATGTCAACTCTCCCATCCCAGACCCAAAGATGGTGTAGTTCTCGCCTAGCTCACCACGAAAGTCATCACGTGACCGATGCCTGTGGCTCTTAGAAGAGCTTGTTAGGATGGTTATAATGCAGAAAAGGGGATTTGCAGAATCATAGAAGCTCCAAGGAGCCTTAGAAGCTACAGTAACAGAAAATAAAATCTATGTCATCAACTCTAGTGGATTTGACATAAGGTGAGCTTATCCAATGACTATTCCCAAGACTTGAAATAAGATGATTCTGTTCAAAGGCTATAAAATGCTCTCTGGAATACATCTCATGTGTTCAGGAAGGTCTTAGGAGAATTAACATTACTCTAAGGTTTTTTTATAGCTCGGTCCACAAACATTGAGCAAGCACGTCCTATGTGCTGGGCCCTGAGGGGAGCAGGAAGAGCAGGAAAGAGCCGCAGCCCATGACCTTGAGGTGCTCTCAGTCTAGCAGGGAGACATTTAATTACTGTACCATCTGGGAAGTGTCATGGAAGAGACGTGGCCCTCCCTTGAGGGAGGGCCCTGCAGAATCCTGAACATCTTACTATCTTATAGCACATCGCCAAATGGTATTGCATTCTTTATGATGAGCAAATTAAGTAATTTTCATTTTCTGGGCAAAGAGACCTAGTAAATGAAGTGTACAGGGTGTGAAGGGTATGGGGTCCAGCAGCTTGTGAATTGGACAGAGGCTGTGGAATGTTCCTCGAGTGATGCGCACACAATTTCTAGTAGTTGCGTTCCTTCTAATGTGGATCCTTTATGCAAAGACGTAATATTGTCTCTGCCACCCTTGTTAGAGATGCGGTAAGTCCGCAGGTGGTTCTCTGTTGGACACTTAAGTGATATAAGCCTTTACCTCTCCACTTCCTGAGATTAATAATTCTTTTCCTCCATTTCCCCTACCACATTTTCTACCAGATGGAATTTTCTTAGCTTCATTGGTGTTGCGTGATTCTTTTGTCAATTCTGCCTACATAGTGGGGCGCGTTGGGTCTATGATAACCATGTGTCTAAAGACCTTAGGTAACTTCAGTTTCAACCCGGAGTGATTGATAGTATCACACTCCCTTCATGGCTCTCCAGGATACCACCTTCTCCTCCAGCTCGAACACCTTGGACTGAATGGATTCCTTCTCATTCTCTCCGAGGCCACAACCTAATCCAGTCAGTCACCAGGTTATGTTAGTTCTTGATCATGTCTCACACATTTCTAACCGTTAAAATTGGAATTACCAGAAGTGTTATTTTCACTTCCAGCAGCGCCCTTTTCCAACTTCTTTTTAACACCACAATTAATAAAGCTGTTGAAAAATGTAGCATTTTGCTCATCAGCTTACCTTTTGCCCATTGAGTACACACATCTCCAGACACTCTTCCTCAAGGTAGCCGTCACATCACTGGGTGTGCAGTCCTTCAGCAGCAGCTAGATGGTTCTCCTCAGATCTAGATGCCTGTGGTCCATCCTGCCCCAGCATCCCCTCTTTCTGCTGGACATGGTACCTTTTTCTACCCTGAGTACTCAGAGTGGTTTGGGTTAGTATCACCCCATTATTGAATTGCCTGACCTCTTTTCCAGCTGAGGAATTTACTGGACAGATAGATGTGCTTGTCTTCTCTTTGTTCTGAGCTAGTTCAGTGCCCACAGGTTAGATGAGTCATATCCTAATCAGAATACTCTGTCAGAATTGGGGGGAGCGTTCTAAAAATGTTATAAATATTCTTCTGACTATTCTTGAGATTGACTGTTAAAATTCTGTATATCTTACTGTTTGTTCAGACACTCTGTTGTGCTAAATATATATTAATTGTGAGATGCAGTATTTAGCGAGTCAAAATTTAGGAAATTTAATGGATGTGCATTTTATGCTTTCCTGTGGAGGTTTTAGGAAGCATTTACTCTGATTAGCCATCCCTAGACAGAACTCTTCTCAGAGCAGAAGCACCCTCCAGAAGGTATTTGGAAATATTTGCGGGGCTACTTTAGTTTGCCAGGGCTTCCATGACAACCTTCCACAGACTGGGTGGCTTCAGACACAAACCTGTCTTCTCACTGTTCTTGAGACTAGAAGTCCCAGATCAAGGCCGGTTTGGTTTCCTCTGAGGCCTCTCTCCCTGGTGTACAGATGGCCACCTTCTCACTGTGTCCTCACACCGCATTCCCTCCGTGCATGTACTCCTGGCATCTCTGTGTGTCCAAATTTGCTCTTCTTACAAGGATACCAGGGGCACCTGGGTGGCTCAGTCAGTTAACCGTCCGACTCCAGCTCAGGACATGATCTCGCAGTTTGAAAGTTCAAGCCCCGCATCAGGCTCTGTACTGACATTGTGGAGCCTGTTTGGGATTCTTTCTCTCTCTCTCCGCTCCTCCCGGGCTCATCCCTAATGGCTTCATTTTAACAAAACCACCTCTTTAAAGGCCCGTCTGAAGGCACATGGGTGGCTCAGTCGGCTAAGAGTCCAACTTCAGCTCAGGTCATGATCGCAGGGTTTGTGAGTTCAAGCCCCGCATCGGGCTCTGCACTGACATTGTGGAGCCTGCTTGGGATTCTCTCTCTCCCCCCTCGCTGCCCCTCCCCCGCTTGCTCTCTGTCAAAACAGATAAAAATAAACTTAAAAAAAAATAAATAAATAAAGGCCCTATCTTGAAATACACCTTCTGAGATAGTGGGAGTTAGGGCTTCAGCATATGAATTCAGCTCATAATGGGAACATTGTTTTTCTGTTGTCAACCCAGAGTCTGGGCCTGTGCCCCTGGCATCCTGGGGAGAGGCCATCATGCTAAATGCTTATAACTTAAGGGGCGGACTTCCACAAAGAAAAATTGTTCTGTTTGAAATGCCAGGAGCAACCCCTGTGAGAAACCCTGCTGATAACCACTGAAGTCTTTTACATCTGTCCTCATACTGCTTACTTTTCATGTGTCACAGTTTAGTCACACATACAGAAAATTGGCCCTGCCGATGCATACAATGTTTGAAATGCGTTTTAAAATGTTTCTGTCCTAGATGCCGCCTCCGTGGACTTGGAAATGATCGATGTGCAAGTTTTAGGAGACGCTTTCAAACGCTATCTTATGGACTTACCGAATCCTGTCATTCCAGTAGCCGTTTACAATGAGATGCTTTATTTAGCCCAAGGTTTGTTTTCTGTTCTGAAAACCTCATTGAACATGCAGTGAGATGTGGATGCGCATGTAAACTCTATGAAACGCTGCCTGTAAAGAGAGCTGTTTTGGAAAATATTAGTAGGAATCTGCCGCTTCCCTGACACCCTCTCCTTTGGCACAAATTCCCTCCCTTACCCGGGCGTCCAATGGAAGACCCAGACCCTCGTTTGCTTAGGAAGGCTGTCCACATGTTGAAATGGCTAATTGTTAACCTTTTATCAGTACTAACAAAGTTCACTACGTCACTGAAGGCCACAGTGTTCCAAGTGCCATCTTGGGATTCAGGGAACCAGGGACTAGGACCGTTGACTAGCGATGTTCTTTCCTCGAGGGGCCATTACAAAATGTGTTGAGAGAGGAGGGCTCTCAGGCTTAGGAGCCTAATGCTCAGTTCAAGTGCTCTGGGGACAGGAAATTGTGGTTCGGAACCTTCAAAGTTAAACCGTGTGATACTTATCTGATGCTCCTCTGAATTAGCCAATCACACTGAGAGCTGCTCAATAGAGGGCAGATCTCTGCCAGCACACCCTCATCCTCTTGTGGTTTTTTACACCAAAAGTTTCTTGCATTTCCATTTGACTTGAGATTTCTCCTTTCTCACAAAGCCTTTTGTGATGAGAACAAACGTGCTGTCTGCTGCTCCTGATGACTTTGTTTTAAAGGACTTGTTCTTCTGTAGCTAGAGCAGAAGAACGTTCTAGGTGTTGAGCTACTGAGATCTAGAGTCTCTTACTCTTTTTCGCTTCTTTCTTTCTTTTTTTTTTTCTTTTTAAACTCTGTAGAAGTACAAAGCCCTGAAGAATATATCCAGCTGTTGAAGAAGCTCATTAGGGCACCTAACATACCTCATCAGTATTGGCTTACGCTTCAGTATTTGCTAAAACATTTCTTCAAGCTCTCTCAAATCTCCAGCAAGAATCTTCTGAATGCAAGAGTACTCTCTGAACTTTTCAGCCCTCTGCTTTTCAGATTCCCAGCAGCCAGGTAAGGCGAAAGGAGAGAAGCATGTATTTTGGGGTGATGGGGACAGTCCTAAGGGGATCGATTGATCATTAACCTTATTCTGAAGATACTCGCTCACAGATTCATGGGCACATTTACACCAGACACGTTGACTTGAATGTGTAGAAATGAAGATGAGTTTGTTGTTGAGAAAAAAAGGTCTCTAATCAAGCTCTCTGTTTTTGTAGCTCTGAGAATACTGAACACCTCATAAAAGTTATAGAAATTTTAATCTCGACCGAGTGGAATGAACGACAGCCTGCACCAGGTAATGCCTTTTGGACTTCTCAAGTTTTCTCGTGGTTCGTTTTTTAGAGCCTGAAAAATGGTGGCTTTAGAACTCCTGTGGAGTAACAAGTTTCTTGTAGAACGAGATCCATAACGTTTTGCCTTGGGATTTAGAGACACAATGGCTGAGTGGTATCCTATATGGTAAATGTTACCTGGATTTCAGTGTCTGTGGATTTTAGATGACCTCCGTCTTAGACGAGGGTTGTTGGGAGTGCTCCCCCTTCCCATCAGCTTTGATGCCTCCCGTTGTTGCATAAATTACGGGGCTCGTTTTAGTTGTTGACATTCTTGTTTTTCTTTCTAATACTTCTAAAGTAGGGGGTTTATAATTACTATATAATTTCAAGTATTTTGGAATGTGTGTTTTGGAAGCAGGTATGCTGAGAAATGTCTGTCAAAATAAACATTTTCAATAATGCAAGCAGTATGAACCCAGGGTGTTCACTGCAGCAAGTTTGAGCAAGCCAGACACTTCTTTGAAAGCAGGCTGGCATTCAATTAGCCATTTAACAAAGCAGGAAATGTAGACCATGTTAGCAGTGGATTTAATTTAAACTGATGTATTTTTCTTCTGTGGAAAGTCTAAACAACCTTCCTTTGCCATATACCGATTAGAAGTTAGCCAACAGAAGCTGGTCATTTAGCATAACGATTCGGGTCCAGTAAGTGAAGTTTCAGGACCAGTCAAAATGTGGCTTGTATCTTAACTTATGCCCAGAGTTAAAATAAAACACCATGCATTTACTCTTCGTTATAGGTAACTCATACAAACTACCAAATTTGTCTCTGGATAAACAGGCATAGGGACCCACTGATCAGTGTTAATTAAGCAAGGGGAAATTAAGTTGTGCTTTTATAGGTGTTAAATAGCCAGGCTTGGTTGTTCGCAGTGGGATGGTGCAGATTGCGAGAGGCAGGGCTTAGGCTTGAAGGATTGAAGGATGTGAGGATTGAAGGATGGCATAGGTAACCACTCACGAGGCAAGTATTTGGAAGGGCTGCTGTGGGCAGGCTCAAAATATGGTATCCAAAGGTAAGAGAGGCAGCGGAAATAGTATATAGGGCAAGTGTGGTATGTTCCAAATGTTCCAGATCACAACAAGCAGGATGTTCAGTGGGGATACTCTGAATTGTAGGTGAATGGCATCAGAGCAGTGTGTCAACAATAGCCAAGGACTTTAGCCCAGGGGGTGGCCAGAAGGTTTATCTCATGTAACTACTTGGGGCACTTGTTAATGGATTTGGGAACTCTTTGTTGGTGTTCAGAGGCTGCCTTTTGGCTCCGTATGAAAGAGTCTGTGGTCGGTTGTTAAAGGTACCCTGTGATGCGGGGACAGGGGGCAGGTGTGAAACATGGCACTTGAGTCCTTTATTGACTAGTCCCCACCCCAGACTAAACACATGGGCAGGGAATGGAGAAGACTAGTAACAACAAAACAGGACCCTGGGCCAACGGGCGAGGCTGTGCTCTCCCACTCCCTCCTGGCCCATGGTGTACATGTGGAGGTTTGTCTCAGTGGAGGGACAGCTGAGTCCCGCTTGTAGAAAGGGCCAGAGGTGGTGCCGCTCTTCTCAGTGCCCGCCCCTCTGGACACGGGGAGGTTGGAAAGCTAACAGCCAGACAAGGTTTGATAGATACCCACCAGTGAATTTAACTGGAGTATCTTAAGAGTATCTCCTACATACCTGGGAGAGTCACGGGTGGAGTTTAATTAGTCTGGTGTAAGCTGGTTAAACGTCCTTATCCGTTTCAGCGCGATTCCACCGAAGAAAGCATTCACATTCATCCATTTTCGTTATGTGCGCTTCGGACCGCCTGCTGTGTCATAGACCCTGGTACATTCTTCCAAGAAAGTGGTGTGCCAGTTTCCCAGGCGGGTTTGTTCTATCAGCGCTGTTGAATGATGAACACTGCACTGAATGTTTCCGAGACCATCCCAAGATTCATGCAGCCTCTTCAAGAAAATTGAACCCAAGTAATCTCTAAACCCTAGTTTGAGCTATCCCTTTGTGTGGTATCTCTCAGCTATTGTAAGGAATGTGTAGGCCCTTTGGAATGAAATAGAGGCTTCAGTGTCCCTCACTTGTGGAAACACACCACCTACTTCAGGAAGAACGTCGTCCTGAAACACCTTTGTATTCAGGGGTGGCTTTGCTGCAAATGATTGGCAGGGCACTCTTGGTTAGAGAAATGATTTCTTAGGCCTGGTGGGAATCCGACATTTTCCTCGAGTCCTTCATCATTGCCCCAGCATGTGCTATTACCAGAGGGGTCTGGAAACGCAACACCAGTGCATCTACATTGAACAGTCTTAAATCATTCATTTGAACTGCCTTTATTGTTGTGAATAGAAATAAGTGCTTGAAGGGGAGCCTGGGTGGCTCAGTTGATTAAGCATCCAGCATCAGCTTGGGTCATGGTCTCGAGGTTCATGAGTTTGAGCCCCGCGTCAGGTTCTCTGCTGACAACTCAGACTCTGGAGCCTGCTTCGGATTCTGTGTCTCCCTCTCTCTGCCCTCCCTTGCTCGCACTCTCTCTCTCAAAAATAAAAATAATCATAAAAAAAAAAAAAGAACGAAGTACTTGAATGATTTTAGGGGGGGAGACAGGGAAGCAAGGCTATCATGTAATAGATAGGCATCTTTTGTAGTTTTTACATGGTAAAACTTGAGGTGATAGGCAAAACTGACGATGACTGAGGCAATGTGTCAATTCCTATAAGACCATTAGCACACAGTATCTACGTGCTAGGCTCTAGGGTGCTTACTCTGAATATAAAAAGAATGTTAGAAATGTGATGGGTACTTGGTAGGGTAACTGAGTAGACTGAAAAGGCTTGTAGAAAAAAATAGGACTTGAAATGGGCTTGGAAGAATTGCTAGAGTTTGAAAAGGGAAGAGGAAATAGTATTCCAATTCGACGAGGTTCAGAGGTTTAACCAAAATAAGTTGCAAAGTACAAAAATAATGGCTGGATACACCAGATTTGAAGAGGTAGTAAATGTTTGGTTTTTTTTTTTAATTTTTTTAACATTTATTTATTTTTTTGAGACAGAGAGAGACAGAGCATGAACGGGGGAGGGTCAGAGAGAGGGAGACACAGAATGTGAAACAGGCTCCAGGCTCTGAGCTGTCAGCACAGAGCCCGACGCGGGGCTCGAACCCACGGACCGCGAGATCATGACTTGAGCAGAAGTCAGCCACTTAACCGACCGAGCCACCCAGGCGCCCCGAGGTAGTAAATGTTTTCAATGACAGTGTCATGGAAAGCATCATTTTAGAGTCAAAGGCATAGTCCAATGCTTCCTTTGCTCAGTAGGAAAGTGAAGCGCCCCCAGAGGTTGAGAGCTCTCCCTGGTGCTACCCAAGCAGCGTGTGCCCGAGCTAGGTCTGCAGGAGGGACCTAGTCCTGGACCCCAGCCTGCTGCTTGGTGCTGCACCTGCTTCCTGGGTTTTGGGAAGCTTCATGAGCAATGGGACCGCTTTTAGTGTCTAGTCCCAAGTCCTCTGAGGTTTCCAGTAAGAAAGAAACTAAAGATAGATGATACTGGCTTCTATGGGTCCCCATATAGTGGGGAGCCCCACGGCGGTTGTTATAGCTTTCGGGGCTAAAACTCACAATCGCTCCGTCTGCCTTGCACTGGTAAGAACAGTGAGTCAAATAGATCTGCTTTGACTCAGCTCTTGCTACTCATTTGCCAAGTTCCTATCAAGTAAGTTAGCCATTCCAAACTGTTTTCTAGTCTGTGAAATGGGAATAATACCTCTCTCTTGGGGTGGTTGTGAGATGTAAATGAGGTGATACGTACTGCTGCTCACCACCCTATAGCCTATCTCTCCTGTGGCCCAGCTCTGGTTTGTTTTGTTTTGTTTTGTTTTGTTTTCAACGTTTATTTATTTTTGGGACAGAGAGAGACAGAGCATGAACGGGGGAGGGGCAGAGAGAGAGGGAGACACAGAATCGGAAACAGGCTCCAGGCTCTGAGCCATCAGCCCAGAGCCCGACGCGGGGCTCGAACTCACGGACCGCGAGATCGCGACCTGGCTGAAGTCGGACGCTTAACCGACTGCGCCACCCAGGCGCCCCAGCCAGCTCTGGTTTTTAAGGACCTCTTAGATCACCTCCCCCCCACCCCCATTCTGCAGCCCCAGCTCCCGAGTCCTGTCATGCCCTTCTGTCCACTGAGCCCCCATTCCCAGCCAGCAGAGCCAGGCCTCCAGGTACCTGCCTGGGCTTCACTGCTAATCTGCAAAAGACACCCTCTCCCTTGGCATTTGCTGCTCCATGGCTGCACTGCTTGGCGGGAGGAAGGTACCTTATTTAGTATGATGCCCTTTCCACTGTGTGCGGCTTGGTGAGTAGAGGGGCCTGGATTTGAGTACCAGCTCCCCCTGCCACATGCCCTTATGCAGTGCACAGAACGCACAACTGAACACAGCCCCCGCCCCGCCCCCAGCAGTCCCATCCACTTCATTTCACAAGTAGGTCTCTCCCTGCTGGGTGTGCAGTGTAAACCCATTCAAATAGGTCTATGCCCTTAACACCTTGTCTCCTTAAACTTCACTTTTCTGTGGTGCTTCCTGTTCTTTTCATCTGCTCAGCTACATTCCTCAAGGGCAAAGGCTGCTTCTCCTGTTGAGCTCCTCCTAGCATAGAACGAAGCACAGCATAATAAAATTTGTAAAAACGTTTTGATAAACTAACCAACTTTCAACATGCTTTGGCACACCCACTCATTGAATGCACCCAGCAAAACTGAAGCAAGGATCTTCCCTATGTTTGGAGGGAAACTAAGGTTTGAAAGGTGGAACAGAGAGTAAGTTCTCACAACTTTGATAGTCTGCTGTTCCCTTTGTTACTAAAAGTCTTAAAAATGCCTAAAGCTGAACAGCAGGTTTTCTTGAATCATTACGTGTTATGTTTACCCTACTAATATTTAGGTAGCGAAAGCAGCTTTCTGTAGGGCAGCTAGGGTA